TTAGCTCGTTTTTACATGTTTTTTCCTTCCAGACTATTTTGGCAGCTTCTCAACGCAAAAGTAGGACGGTGTCTACCCAATCATTCTTATTTGCCTCCCAAATCACCGCTGCTAAAGATCTTAAGCACACTTCTTGTGATTCACCAGTGCGTATGAGGACAAATGAGGCTTCAAAAACCAAAATTGAACACAGACCAAAATAAAACAATTACCTGAGTGTCAAAAATTTTCCTAAGATTAACTGCATAGCGATGCGCAAGCAATGTAGCAACTCTCTTCGCATCATGAATTACCTAAAAGACATTTCAAATTTTAGAAATAATGAAGTCTTTAATATTAAACAAGACATGATTGTTCTACTTGAGTTCAGTAATAAAATTTCCTGGCTGCAGTGATGAAGCAGGGTAACGGTCCTTGAATAGTAACGGTCCATACAGGACAGCTGTTTCAACGATAATGGTTCTTGCCAACCGGAAAAGAAACCTATTTCGAAAACAAACTGTTATAAAAACGCTTAGTCAGATGAATGAGTTCCATGCAGGCGACATTTTTTAAAAATCCAATTGTCAGATCTTTTTTCGGATGACAAATTTTTGCCTACACCGTGACATGGAAAAAAACAAATCTCGACATCTATTAAAACGACCAAGTAAATGAGAAAAGAATAAGATTTATGCCTTGACTATCTTCTCAGATTCCAAAATCTCCTTGACGCCACTTTCCAGCAATACAGTGTCACTATGGACAACGTCGAATACGACAATTTGTGTGGCCGTAGCCAAAACAACCAGCGACAGAAACTCTTCGCCTTGCACACCAATAGTAACGGTCTTGAAATCAACTCCAACAACTCGTTCCTCCATCCCGTCAATTTCTGAGTTTAACAATGATACCGCTTCCTGTGAATTTCGCTTTTTAGTGAAACCAAGAAAAAAAAACATGCGCAAAGGCGACAAAGAAGAAATGAAAAAGATCAAGGGCCAAGCAGTACCTGGGCAGGTTTGAGAGCTTTTACGAGATTGATCCTATTGACAGCATTATGATTTAGGTGATTGTTATTTTCCATTTCCGAGCTTTCGGTGGAGCCGCTTTCTGAACCATCTTCTGATGCCCGGTTTTTCACAAGGGAAACCTAGTAAATAATAAAGTGTGTAATATAATCAACAACCAGCTAGTAATCAGTATTTCGAAAAACACTGCCCGCCAACTACCCTGGCCTATTTGGCTCTCTCTTTACAGTGATGCCCGATTTTAGCGTACCACTCTTATCAAAAAGTAGAATTTGATGTCCGTCTTCACATTTATTCGAATTTAGTCAAACTGCCGTTTTTTATTTACTCCACGATGTTAGCTCTCCTTACAGACAAAAACCATTACTTTGCAAGTTTAGCATAGATTTTGCGAATGTTTGAGGAGAACGGTATGCGAGAAAATCAATTATAACTCATAAATGAACCTTGTTAGATCTAATGAAGAACACATTACGATTAAGTTTCAAAAATTGAAGCAGCTCTTTCGGATTGGTTGCCACTTCTTGCCTTACTGTATGTGAGAAACGATCACAAAATTTTTGATAGAATACATCCATCGGTATCGGTTGGTCCTCATTCTACAAACTGAGATTTACATAGTCACCGTATCAAAATATTTGACAAAAACACCAAAAAGGAATTCAGTTTTCTTCGAAATCGCGAAAAAAAAAACTCATTGATGAAATCGTCAGTCACGATATCACCCATATTCGTTAATTTTTGTGAGTTAGAGGGACCCAGAAATAGCCTAGTTCCACAAACGACAACCCACTGGCAAAGAAGTCTGTGGTTTCGAGGGTTGCTTACGAGCAAGCTGGCAGCTATTTTG